AACACTTTAGATTTCAGCAAGGCTATCATTTCCATTGATTTTATTCAACAAAGTCATATGTGTAGAATTTTTTAGTATTTCCCTAGAAATGGCAGAGTTGGCCATTAGGACTAGGCAGTTACTGAAGAATCCATAAACTAAACTCAGACCAAAAAAATATTGGAGGAAATCCTGATAAACTAAAAAGTTTCTAGCATTATACTGCTCTGCGTATGTCTAAAGTTCTCATTCTACTTTAAAGAAACCAAAACTGTAAAGGCAGGTCATGCAATACGAGTGCAGTTCATGTACAAAAGGCATAATGGAATCTCAATCACCAGTCTCAGAACCCTGCTCCTCTCTCAATAAAAGACTAACAAATGAATATAAAATTACATCCTATGTTAAATTATTAAGATGTGCATAGGCCATTTTTTAGCGATTTCTTACTATATTAAATTCCTGAGAATAACAACCAATTAATTACAAGCTTGACTACATTGGGTAGAAGGTCTTTTATTGTACAGGCAAGTATATTTTAAAAATCAAATAAAGTGGGTTTTTTTTTAATGCCTCCCTAAAGTATGCATTCTCCACTAGCTTTCATCTTATATTTCTCCTTTACTTTACTGTCACATTTCTTAAATCATCTGTATCACTTGTTCCAAGACTTCTGGAAATTATGTTGAAAGGGAGAGGGGGTAGGTATTGGAGAAGGCAATATTGAGTTTCCAGGTTTCTATTTTGCCAAATATGGATATCTTTTGTTACAAGATAACCTCCAACTCTTCCCTCCCAGATTTCTCAAATAAAGGACAAATACAGGACATTTAACATTTGGAGGGACAATCTTTAAATTAACCTATTTAAGTTAAGCCAGTCTTTAAATCAACCTATTTAATTATATAGCAGTCATTATACTCATTTGGTCATTCAGCCACCACTTCACCACTTACTGCACATTTACTAACATAGCATGTGCACTGTTGTAGGTTCTGGAGAGACAGCAGTGAGCAAAGCAGATTTTTAAAAAAATTATCATAGATATTACATTCTAGTGAGGAAATTCACACACACAAAAATAAGTAAAATATTTAGTATGTGAAATAAATGTTAAAGAGAAAAATAAAGGGGGAAGGAAATAATTAGTATTATGGGGGCAGTTCCCAATTTTAGAAATGATGGCCAAGGAGGATAATTTTCTGAAGGTGACATTCCTTGGGTGTCCAACCCCTGGCCCATGGGTTGCATGGGGCCCAGGATGGCTTTGAATGCAGCCCAACACAAAATTGTAAATTTACTTAAAATCTTTTTTTTTTTTTTGGCTCATCAGTTTTCATTAGTGTTTGTGTATATAATGTGTGGGCCAAAACAACTCTTCTTCTATTGTGGCCCAGAGATGCCAAAAGGTAGGACATCCCTGAAGGAATGAAGGACTGAGACTTGTCACTATCAAGGGAAAGAGCACCCACCCCAGCAGAGGAAGTGGCCAGTGCAGAAGGCCTCGTCGAAGGAATATGGTGGACATGCTCAAAAAGCACTAAGGGGGCCAGTGAGTGAGCAAGGGAAGGCAGCAGGAGATAAAATGAGAGCCTTAACACAAACCAGGTCGTACAGGGCTTTGCAGATCATTCTAAGGAATTTCCCTCTTAGTGTGTTTTGAATAGAAAATGACATGATCTTACTTATTTTAAAATAATCTTTCTGGTTCTTTTAGTGAATAGTTAGACTCTGGAGAGAAAGGGGAATGGTAGCAGAAGCAGGAAGTTGGAAGCTCCAGAAAAGAGATTGCACTGGACCAGGTGGTAAAAGTAAAGCTGGAGATCAGATTCTGAATACGTTTTCCGGGCAGAGTTCACAGAACTGCTAAGAGATGAAATGTGGGGTAAGAAAAAGCCAAACATAACTCTGAAGTGTTTATTTTATTTATTTACACATTCATTCATTCCTTTCAGGGAAAAAGGTGGGGGGCGGGGAGAGAGAGAGTGCCCGCGAGTGCACGTTGACTGGTTGCTCCTGTATGCTCCCAGACTGGGGATTTTAGGCACCTGGACTGAGGACTGATCCTGCAACCTAGATATGTGCCCTGACCAGGAACTGAACCGGCAACCTTTTGGTTATGGGACAACGCTCCAATCAACTGAGCCTCACCAGCCAGGGCAACTCAGAAGTTTTTAGACTGAACTACTAGAAGAGTGGAGCTCCCATTTACTGAGATAAGGAAGTTTATTAATAGAATGGATTTGAAGAAAATAACAGAAACCCCAGTTTGGACATTTATTAGACATCTAAATGTATATAGTATGTCAGACATCTAAGTCTAAACACTAAAATGTATATAAAAAAATATACAAGTCTGGGATTCAGAGAGCTAACTCATTGACATACAATTGGCATTTAAAGCCAAAGGCCAGCTGAGATTACCATGGAAGAAACACATATGGGAAAAAGTTCAAGACTGAGCCATGAGGTACCCCCAAGTGTAGAGATCAAGGATGTGAGAAAGAGCAAGCAGAGCAAACCGAGAAAGAGTAGCCAGTGAGGAAAGAATATGTGAGTTCTGAAGTCCAAAAAAAAAAAGAGAATGTGTCAGAATAGACAGACAAGTAATCAACCATGTCAAATACTGTTAGTAGGTCAAGAGGAAGACTGGGAATTGATGTAACAGTATAGAGGTAGTTAGAGACCCTGGCAATGGGGTGGGGTGGGAGTTAAAATCTGATTGGAATAGGTACAAGAACAAATTGCAGGAAAGAAATGGAAAAAAAAAAATATATATATATATATATATAGGCACCCCTTTCAAGAGAAAGAGCTACAGAGAATGCTGTAGTTATCAGAGCTATAGCTGAAGAGGAAATAGGATCAAAAGAAGATTGGTATGTGTTTCTTTTTAAGTGGGAGTAATAATAGAGTTTACTCTGCTGGGAACGATTAAGGAGGAAGAGAAAGAATTCAGGAGAGAGAGGGAAGAATACCTCAAGAGATGTCCCTGAACAAACACATACACTCACAGGAACTAAAGTATTAGGCAAGAATGATTCTAGGTGGGTAGGCATAGTTGTGAAAACTCATGGAAGCTCTCTTCTGATTGTTTCTATTCTCTTGTAAGAACTAGAAGGCAAGACCATTAGCTGAGAAAGGGCAGAAAAGGTGGTATTGGAGGTTTGAGGAGTGAAGAGAAGGTTCCAATAGTTGAAATGAGAGCACTCACTCATTGGAGAGGAAGAGCATGACTTCCAGGAGGTGCTAATGCTCCAGCTGAGGTTTGTGATCATGAATTTAAAGTAAAACCAATCAGCATGGTTGTATTTTCCTAGCTGCACTTAGCCATGCAGGTGCAGGCACTGCAGCAGCAGAAAGCTGGTTTTATCTAGGGCTGTATATAGGGTAGCCCAGAAGAAGCAAGAGAAACTAGAGAGGTTAAGGTGCATGCAAGTGACTGTGGAACCGAGCTGGGAAAACAGGGGAATGAGGACATGAGTGTGGTGATGAACAATGAAACAGTGGTGGTAACAGTGAAGTCCAAGAATTAGTGAAATCAGGGCACTAGAAAAGAGAGGAACAGTCAGAGAGGGGAAACAAATCCTTATGTTCCCATTTCAAAGTGGGCTGGTAGAAAGTTCGACAGAGGCAGAATTTAGAAATTGTTCAGTTATTCATCACTTCCTTCTCATTCATTCCTTAGCCACAGGTCTGCTTCCCGCACCACCAGCACTACCATTTCACTTCATCAATACTGCAATGCTATGCTCCCAAAAGCCACCACGAAGCTCCCACATGTTGCCTCACTTGCCCTTCTTTTAGTTACTGGGCAGACAGCGAGCATCTCAAAGGCAGAAACTATGTCTTAATTGACCCAAATATTCTAGGCAGTACCTAGTCCACTGCTATACAAGAATGTAGCTATTTAAAAAAAAGAAAAGAAAAAAGAAATTCCTTTGCCAAAACATCAAGGTATGATACTGAGAAAATCAGGAAGTCACAAAATTCAAATATAGGCAGCACCTATGGGGAACTCTATGTAAAATGGCAATTTTGTCTACATCTCAAAGTTATGCTACAGTTGTTATTTTCAGGAAATTTTGATTTTAGAAAGGTTTTCTAAAATGTTTTTCAAATTCCAATTTTAATTTTACCTCTATTATCTGAAACTCAGCTTTCTTCCTCATTAAAGATAAACTGAGAACAATCCTAATCAGTAGCCTCCATCTCATTCTACAATTCACTTTTTGGTACAGGGGGGAAAAAAAGAAAGAAAGAAAACAAACCAGAAGGGAAGGAGGAGTCTGACCAGGTTTAAAACATTCAGTCCCTAGTTCTCAGCTATGGAACAGGCTCCCTAGCCAAGTATAATGAAGAAAGGGGAAACTCCAAGTTACCAAAGGGTGACGGGCTTACCATACACAAGATTTCTCTTGATCATGGTATCTCCCCTGCCAGGTAAGTATTCAAGATTTCTCTAAGTCCTTAAAAAGTTAATATTTTTATTTGACTATAGCAAACTTTGTTGTTGCTGTTTTTGGGAAAGTTGATTAAAACCTCATGCAACAGCTGTGTTGCAAAGAGCTACTGGTCTAGAATAGTGCTCTATTAGCCACTAGGATGCATGAGAATCCCTTGTGAAACTTTTTACAAATTACATGCCCAGCCTCCTGCCCAGAGAGTCTGACTTAACAGACTGAGGTGGGTCCTAAGTAACTATGCTCTTTAAAGGCTCTGCATTAGTAAGCACTCCTGGAGTGGGAACTACCTGTCTAGAAATCAAATATTCTTTGATAACTGATACCTCTCCTTTTTTCAAATATCTACCAGAGGTCCCATCAAATCTCCTAAAATTATTTCACCATTAATGTAATTACTTCCTAACAGTGATATACTTAAGATCAAATTTTAAGAATGACTGCCCCATTAATATATAACATGGCACTCAAAATCAGAAAAGTGGTAGACTTTATTCCTCTGATAAACACAATTCACCAGTAACTATAATTCACCAGTAAACGCAGAGCTGGCCTTACCCGTTCCATGGCTGCATTATGATATGGGAGCTCCTCCTCACTGCAGAGAGAAAAAAAAAATAGTATATGTCAAACAGTTGAAACCAAAGCAAATTTTGAAAAATTATAAACCAATAGGTACAAATAATGTACAACCTTTTCTTTGTCATCACAAAAGTAACATAGCTCATGTTCCACCAAATTCAATATAAAGCAATTAGCTATCTGTAACAACGATGTCCTCTATCTTCAAATTTCTAGACCAGCACCATCCAATAAAGTAATCTCTAGGCACACGTGGCTATTTAATTTTAAATAAAATTTAAATAAAAATTAAATAAAATAAAAAATTCAGTTACTCATTCTCATTAACCACAGGTCAAGTACATGACAATCATGCAGAGAGAGGCTACTGTATTGAACAGTGCAGACAGAGATAGCACATTGCCACCAATGCATAAAGTTCTACTGGACAACACTGCTCTAGACCATCAGGAACCGTCAACAATCTTTTTCTATAAAGGTAAACATTTAAATAATAAATACTTTAGGTTTTATAGACCATACAATCTTTTTCATAATTACTCATCTCTGATGTTGTATTGTGAAAACAGACACAGACAGTATGTAAATCAAGTGTGGTTTTGTTCCCATTAAACTTTTACAAAAACAGGTGGTAAGCTGGGTTTGGCCTACAGGCCACAGTTCGCCAACCTCTACTCTAGACTGTTACCTCCATTCTCTGGCTCAAACCATGGCCTATAATAAATGATTGGCTAAAAGAATTTGTATAGAAAAATAAAACTGCCTCCAAGAGATTTATGAATTAAAAGAAAATGTTAATTTGGTAAATAAGGAAATCTTCATTTGTGAAAACTTCAATGGGAATGATTTTTTTAACATACAATAACAGATGAAATCCACTTTGCTGACATAATGATTTTGTGATATCACCCCTAATATAAAATATTCTGAGACTCTTAGATTCACTGTGAGTAATATAAAAACATGTGCTATCCATAGAGTTATGTGCTTCAAGTTGCTATCTCAGTAGCGTTGATGTTTTGGCAATGATATGTACATATTTTTGCCTTAGTTTCTCTTGACATCAAATAATATCTCTTTCCAGAGTGCAAAACATTTGTACTCAAGAGTCTGGTATTTCAAGGGCACTCTTTGCTACTCTGAAAAGTAGGTGGACCATGAAGCTACAACTGACAAAAAAAAAGTGTAATATCTGAAAGAGATCTCAGACAGTCCAAACCCTCATATCATAGATTCATAGATAAGGAAACTAACATTTTCACTTAGTCACATTTAGCCTAATGTGAAGACATTCAGCAATCTCTAACCCAGTGAGTTCGCATTAAGATCAACAAGATCTTCAGATTACGCAGAATTATATAAAAAGGCTGAAAAATCAATTCTCAAGAAGACAAGAAACTTTGAGGATTAAATATAAAAGGTCTATTGTTGTTTTTCTCCTGTAAAGCAAACATTCATGCACCTTTACTGAATGTGACACCTTGATTTTTTTGTAGTTTTCATTATGCTCATAGTCTAAATTTCCCTAATTTGTAATCCTGATTACTAGGGCCTGTCATGTATGAATGATACAGGATATAACTTCTGATTTAAAAGTGTAACTATCCATTCTTCATTTACTGGCAAGAGAGGACTTGTCAACACCACTGGAATGCCCTGCCTTGGTAATTAGTCAGCAGTGACACCTTGAAAGAATAAGAACATCTGGCACCCTTTGGGCACACCAAGAATGGTATTTCTGGGGTTAGTAACCTACCCTGGGCAGGATTAACCTTTTGTACAGCTGATTTGAGATGATCCTGACAACTGTTTATTTAAACATTCCTAACTGCAAATGAAGCACCAGCTATGGCTGCTTATCACAGGAGAAGTTCTTTGAAGTTGCTGGGTGCATTTCTTTGGTGTCCTCCTATTTTCTAAACAAGACTGACAGACCTATTCTCAACCCTGACTCAGAACCAAGTGTTGCACTTGTCTGTTGAATGATGCTGATCCTCTGCTCAGGCTACATGGTCTGTGTTTGGCAGGTTCCACAAAACCAACTGCTTTCTGAAATTCAAGATAAGACAGAACTGCACACAGCACCCCACTCTACCTTAACTTCAAATCATGCTATTGAAATCCTGGCGGAGAGGAATGCCAGAATATACATACACAACCACAGTCAGCTTTAGGCAAAATCCAGGAGTACACACACTTCCTCTTAGATTTTTATCCAACCCAATATTTTATATAATTTCCTTTTGCCCTATTGCAACCCCACCAGGATCTGGTTGCCTATTCAGTCCCCATCATGCTCCCCAAAACAGTTTTGGAACCCCTATTATCCAAGCATTTTTAATGTGCATTTAAAAAATTTATTTATTTAAAAATTAAGACATAATTGACATAACAATGTATTAGTTTTGCATAACATAATGATTTCATATATGTGTATATATATATTGCAAAATGATTACATTGTTTATTTAATTAACATCCATCAGCATACATGCTTACAGATTTTTTTCCTGCGATGAGATCTACTCCCTTAGTAACTTCCAAACATACAATACAGTATTGTTAACCATAGTCATCATGCTATATATTCATTAGATCCAGAACTTACTTATATCTAGAAGTTTATACTTATTAACCACCTTCACCCATCGCCCCCAACCCCCACCCCCGTCTTTGGCAACCACATATCTGTTCTCTATATCTATGAATTTGTTTGTTTAAGATTCCACATATAAGCAGTATCATACAGTATTTGTGTTTCTCGGTCTGATTTATGTCACTTAATGCTGTAAAGATATAATCATAAATATACATAGATATTTTCTTTTCCATTCATCCATAGATGTACACTTAGGTTGTTTCCATGTCTTGGCTATTATAGATAATGCTGCAAAGAACATAGGGGTACAAATATCTTTTCAAGATAGTGATTTGATTTCTTTTGGATAAATACCCAGAAGTGGAATTGTAGGATCATATGGTTGTTCTATTTTTTAATTTTTTGAGAAGCCTCCATATTGATTTCCACAGTGGCTATACCAATTTACATTCCCACCAGCAGTGCAGGAGGGTTCCCTTTTCTTCACATCCTCACCAGCACCTGTCTCTTGTCCTTTTTATTCTAAACTGGTATGAAGTGATATCTAATTGTGGTTTCAATTTGCATTTCCCTGATGATTAGTGATGCTGAGTACCCTTTCCTACACCTGTTGGCCATCTGGATGTCTTCTTTGGCAAAATGTCTATTCAGACCCTATGTCCATTTTTAAATTAAATTGTTTGCTTTTTTTTTTTTTTTGCTATTGAGTTATATGAGTTCTTTATATAGTTTAAACATTAACCTCTTATCAAATACATGATTTACAAATATTTTCTTTCATTTGGTAGGCTGCTTTTTCATTTTGCTGATGGGTTCCTCTGATGTGCAGAAACTTTTCAATTTGATATAGTCCCACTTGTTTATTTCTGCTTTTGTTGCCTCTGTTTTGGGTGTCAAATAAAAAAAAAATCATAACTAAGACCAATGTCAAGAAGTTTACTGCCTATGTTTTCTTCTAGAAATTTGATGATTTCAGGTCTTATGTTTAGTCTTTAATCCATTTTGAGTTGATTTTTGTGTACGATGTTAGATAGTGGTTTGATTTAGTTCTTTTGCATGTGGCTGTCCAGTTTTTTGAACACCATTTATTAAAGAGACTATTCTTTTCCCATTGTATATTCCTGCCTCCTTTGTTGTAAATTAATTTACCATATATATGTGGGTTTACTTCTGGGCTCTCAATTCTGTTCCATTGATTTATATGGCTGTTTTTATGTCAATACCATACTGTTTTGATTACTTTAGCTTTATGTGATGTCTCCAGCTTTGTTCTTCTTGCTCAAAATTGCTTTGGTAATTCAGGGTCTTTTGTGAGTATATAAAAATTTTAGGACTTTTTATTCTATTTCTGTAAAACAACCCATTGAAATTTTGATAGGGATTGCACTGAATCTGTATATTGCTTTGGGTAGAATGGACATTTTAACAATATTAATTCTTCTAATCTATGAGCATGGACCATCATCCCATTTATTTGTATCTTCTTCCATTTCTTTCATCAATGGCCTATAGTTCTCAGAGTACAGCTCTATTACCTCTTTGGTTAAATTGATTCCTAGGTACTTTATTCTTTCTGAAGCAGTTGTAAATGAAACTGTTCTTTTAATTTCTCTTTCTGATAGTTTCTTACTAGTATATAGAAAAACAATTGATTTTTTGTATATTGAGTTTGTATGCTGCAATTTTATTGAAATTGCTTATTAGTTCTAACAGATTCTTTTTTTTGGTGGAGTCTTTAGTGTTTCTACGTATAAGATCATATTATCTACAAATAGAGACAGTTTTATTTCTTTTCTTCTGATCTGGATTCCTTTTTTTCCTTGCCTTATTGTTCTGGCTAAGACTTTCAGCCTTATATTAAATAAAAGTCGCTAGAGTAGGCATCCCTGATTTCTGATCTTTAAGGGGAAAATTTCAGTTTTTTCCCATTGAGAATGATCTTAGCTGTGTACTTGTCATATAGCGTCTTTCAGATACTTTCTCTCCCTATCCATTTTGTTGAGAGTTTTCATGAATAGATATTGAATTTTGTAATAAGTCTTGAGACTTCACTAATGGATGACAGAGCTCAAGAATGTGGTCAAGTTTTCCTATACGGAGTTTCTTGCATATTACTCCACACCCTAAAACCTTTTATACAAAAATCTTCTGTGCATAACACTCATCTCCAAGAACCATTCCTCCTCAAATTTTTATAGTGGAATACATTAACTTCCAGAGTCTTCCAAGAAGAAACCAGGGGAATGCTGCTTCAACAAGAGCTACACACAATGTCTACAATACACAGGTAAAGCACTGTACCAGCCTCAGGCACAGGTGCTGGCATGTTGGAGGAATACACTAATATTGCTGGATGAATGTACAAAGGGAAGGATGAAAACATACCTGCATGCACATATGCATCTTTACCTTGACACCTAAAAACCCTTCAAGTAGGAAAAAAAAAAAAAGGACCAAAATCTGGGTGACTGGAACATTCTTTTAGGTCAGGAAACTACAGACCATGGATCAAATCCAGCGACTGCCTGTTTTTGTAAATGAAGTTTACTGGAATAGTCCCATACTTATTCATTAATGTATTGTCTGTGGTTGTTTTCATGCTACAGTGGTAGAGTTGAATGGCTGGGACAAAGGGTCCATAAAGCCAAAATTAGCTAATATCTGGCTCTTTACAGAAAATGACTGCCTCCCCCTGCTTTAAAACTTTTTTTAAAGGTTTGTCCTCTAAGAGAAAGAAGCACCTAGGAGCAGCTCAAAAAAAACACAAAGCCGACGGTAAGAAGCAATGCCTCACAGAAATACAGTAAGTAAAAACAAAAACAACAATATAGTCATCTCTGAAAGGGGAGAGACCTTAATTGGATATATTTTTTCATCTGCTATTAAATTTAGAATTACTAATTAATGTGCCTATAACTTTTTAATTGTTTAAATGGAGTATTTCTATAACTTGAAGTAAACTTTCATTTTGGAAACTTAAAAGTTAACCTGCTAAAATCCCTTAAAACCCTATTTTTATTTCTAAATTTTATTTCTATTTTTGTAGTAAATTTTGTCTAAATTTATATTTACTCCAGTCAAAATTATTATATGAATATAAAATTCTCAAGCCCTTGTCATCAAAAGATATTTAAAAACAAAACCACCTTTATTCTGGTTCTCCAATATTTATACAGTTATAGTAAACTATAATCAGCTAAATTTAATAAATATATATATATATTTTGATAAGTAGTTGAAAACCTGAAGCTTGGTATTAATTTTATCTTTATTTTTGGTACAATTTCCTTCTATTTCTTCTATTAATAACTTATGACCTAAACGCATTATCTAACATTATCCAAATACCAATCATTCTTTGTTGAGCATAGTTGTACTGGCTATTTTTGATAAAAATGTTTAAAGTTCTCCAACTTTTTAAATAAGCTGAATTTCCCCATTCTCCAAATGCAGTGCAATCACAGGCATACAGACAGGGGACAGCTCTGAGTCTTAACAAAGTTTCTGAGTACTTAACATAGATATTCCTGTCCCAGCATCAAGCCAAGCTGGTTTGGCAACAGTTTTCATATTTATTGTGAAATCTGTTATAGAACCGAGTTAGTCCTGTACTGCATTTGTTAATTACCATCATCCCTCTTTACATATTATAACAAGTAATTTAACTTACTAAAACTGTAATTAGATATGAAGTCAGCAGCCTTCAGAGAAGGCTGCAAAGTTAGTTTTTGCCATTGTGTTTTATTGACATTGACACTTAAAACCCAATTTCATTGGAGAACCCATCGAAAATTGCAAAGGACTAAGCAGAAAAAAGTGCTCTTTCAATCAAAATGTGACAGGGAGCAATATCTAAACACACAGGCCACATGACTTTATTCAACAGCACAATACTCTCCAGTCTACAGTGACAAGCAATAAAAACCACCAGCAGCAACCTCTGGAGAAAACAACTTACTGAAATTAGATATTGTAACAAAATTCAATGATTTTCATGAAACTTAATAAAGTCTAACATTACACTGAAATCCATTTCTATATTTCATTATTCTCATTTGAGTTGCCTGCCTTAGGACAGCATCATGGAGTAACTAAAAAGAAAATTAGTGAGATAGGTAGCATGAGAAAGGTATCAATTGGCTTCGTTTTTAAAGAAGTGTAGAGCTCAGCTCTTAGAGCATAACTCAGTACACGTGATCGTTTTAAATAGCATCCTCTCTTTAGGCACTCTTTTTGCCCCCCTTTTCTTTCTAGGCATTTCAATGCCTTCTACTGGGTTTCTCTTTTTAAAAATACGGGAGCACAGCAACAGGCAGCGTAATGCAGAAGCTCAGAACACAGCTCTGCTGTAGGACTGCCAAGGTCCACATCCCAGATCGGACACTTGCTGTCAGCACAGCTCGGGCAAGCTGCGTGATCTCTTTGTGTTTCATTTTCATCTAAAAATACTGATTTTTTTTTTAAAAAAGAATACTTATCCCAAAGAGTTTTTGAGAGGAATAAATGAGTTAATCCATGTAAAGAGCATAAGACAGTGCGTGCTACACAGTAAGTGCAAAATAAATATTAACTGACATTATTAAGATAAATTGACCGACTTTTTCCCCACTAGTGCCAAATGGAGCTCAGCACAGAAGGTAAAAAAACAAGCACAAAATAACTGATTTTTAGACTGCCAAGTACAGGCTAGGCTCTTGGGCCAGAAAATTGTTCACACTGTTTCAAGCAATGAGAAAAAAAGAATTTAGGTAATTACTAGATCCTTCGGAATGCAGTTTTTTCATATGTATCTTGTACTATATTAGGCCATGTTGGATATATTTTTTCATCTGCCATTAAATTTAGTTCACTGCCATCAGAAACACTGCAGAGGTCAAAATCAGCTGAGCTGTATTCCACCGGCTAAATCAAAATCTGGGATAGACCCCAAAAATCTATTTTTAAAAAAATAAACATTTCTCAGCTGACTAATTTGGGATCCACTGATTCTGACAGTGCTAAATGCTCAAATCATCCTCTAAAACTTTACTCACATACCTCAGACCTGCATGTTAACGCACACAAATGTGTACTCATTTCCTGCCACATTTTTGGCCAAGCTTGATTTACTTAACATTTTTTTAAAAAAGTAGAAGTGGGGAGGGGTTAATTTAAGAAGAGTATTTTCATCATAGTTAAATACTCATCTGCTAGTCTGTTGAAGTTCAAAGTCTACTAATTATAACTACTCAGGAGAACATTTGGGTATGATAATGTCGTTAGGTATAATAATAACACTTTATATTTGTCCTTTGTATAGTAGTCTATTATTTTGTGTCTTCAAAGCTTCCACTACATTATAAGGTATGAAAAGCAGTTACTGATTTCTGTTTTATACATGAGACAAGAAATGGTTAACTTAGCCAGTGAAGCCACAAGAAAAGCATATATTCTCTAATTTAGAGTACTGTTGCTGTGTCTGTCTGCTTGTTTTATCTTGAGAGAAAAAAACATTAGATAATCAAATACTATCTAAATGCAAGAGACCTGAACAAAAGGAAAAAACAAGTTCTGAGTACTGTAAGTCACTGCTATGAACTACACAAGAAATTCTATTTTTCCCTCAACTCTAATCATATATCATAAAATAGAAATTTCTGGCTTTTTCCTGTTTATAATAAACAAGACTGAAAGATACATTTGAATGAGGAGTTAATCACCGAACTGTATGGAACCAAAAAAACTACAGAATGAAGTCTCCAGCCCATGGGAATCTGACTAAACAATGCCAGAGCCAGAAGAGGTAGATTCACATCATTTACAGTATATTTTTAAGAGTCAAAATCCTTTTAATCACTTTACTTTATACTGGTCTAGACCTCTCTCAACTCTTTATATAACATACTCAGGATAAATGGAATTAATTTTGAGAAGCAATAACATGAATACATTTATAACTATAGGGAAGATTAACGGCATTTTTTTTCATCACTCACTTTTAGGCTGCATAACACTAAAAGTTTTAATTGCTCATTATTTTAAAAATGCGTTTATATAAAATGACATGTTTCATAATTATTTTTGAAATATAAATTGTTATTCATTTCCATTTAATTCTGCTAAATTATTAATGCAACTCATTTATTGCACTTAATGTTCTTACTAAAATATAACAAATATGTACTAAAGATTGTATTCTTACAAAATAGTTCAATTTCCATCACAGAGGTTAAAAATGCCAGGAATTTAATAACAAAAGTATGTTGCAATACAAGTCTTGGAATCTTATTCATAGCATGCTATTAAAAATAAATAAAATCACCCTGGCCAAGTGGCTCAGTTGGTTGGAGCATCATCCCATACAACAAAAGGTTGTGGGTCCCATTCCTGGTCAGGGCACATACCTAGGTTATGGGTTCAAGCTCCAATAGGGGCATGCACGGGAGGCAACCAATCAATGTTTTTCTCTCACATCGACGTTTCTCTTTTTCTCTTACTTCCTCTCGCTCTAAAATCAATAAATATATCCTCAGATGAGGAATTTAAAAAATAACAATAAATTAAATAAAATAAATAAAATGGGTATAACAGATGTCCATGGAAGCATTATAATAATGTTAGCTTTCAATCTATGCAACTTACTGTAAAAAGCCAAATCTATCCGTGACTTTGTAAACAAGGTAATCAGCATCTTCCCAAGGTTCAATCTCTGCACCTTCTCGTCCCTATAATAGTGAACAAAGAAGGGTGTTATTGGAAACCTGTATAACTAATAACTTTTTAAATAAAACAAAAACAAAAAACAAAAAAAGGAGAGCCGTTTTTATATATTAACAGTTAAAGCTGGAAATGAGGCACTATCCATCTTAGCTGGCTTTAAATACATATTGATATTTTTGGCAATATCATCACTATTTTCTAGTTGCAAACTCTGGAAGATACTATATGTCACCAATAGCCGATAGTAGCTAAGCTTTGCTCAGACTTCGGTTCCTGTGAGTACTGGGGAAGAAGGAAGCAAAGAGGAGTAAGAAAGTCACTTAAGAACGAACTTTCAAAAAGTTTTGAGTGAACATGTCTTAGAAAAAAATTATTTCTTGTCTTTTCATCCAAACTTCTCAGAAGAGTGGGCTATCCACCTTATCTCCCTGCTTCTTTACTTCACAGAGATATCAGCCCTGAAACTATTCTGGCCAAGGTCAAAAACCATCTCCCATTGTTGAAACCAGTGGACACTCTTCAGTCCTTTTCATATGGATTTTTTTGAAGCACTTGGCAGTGCTGCTGCTCACTTTCTATTCCTCAACCTACATGACATCACCTTTCTTGGTTCTCCTCATCCCTTTCCAGCTCTTCTTTTGGTGGCTTTTTCATAGTATCTCTTAACTGTCGATGTGTCCAGACCTCTGTCCTCAGCCACTGCTCTCTCATTCCACCCTTGAGGCTGTTAACTTGTACTGTTGGGGCAGGAACCCCAAATGTAACTGTTTATCCAGGGGTGTCCAACATTTTGGCATCTCTGGGCCACATTAAAATAAGAAGAGTTGTGCTGGGCCACATATTAAATAAAATAAGAAGAGCTGTGTTGGGCCACATATTAAATACACAAACACTAACGAAAACAAAACAAACAAAACAAAAAAAACCCTCATAATGTTTTAAGTAAATTTACGGTTTTTTGTTGGGCCACATTCATAGTCATCCTGGGCCACATGCGGCTGCAGGTTGTGGTTTGGTTACCCCTGGACCAATCCCTCAAATTCCAGACTCAATACCCAACTGTCTTGTGAACCCTTCCATCTGAGTACACTTTATAATTGTCTGCTCGTGTGTTCTCCAGTAAGCCGTGAGCATCTCATGGGCAAAAACTGCTCTAACTCATGTCTGTAGTGTGACTCCCCAGGGCCTAGCACAATGCCTCGCCTAGTCATTAACTGTTAGTTGCATGGCGGGGCAGGGGGGCGGGGGAAACATGCAAGGATGGACAAGTGATAGTTCTACTGGTTTTAAATTAGTTAAGCAGTTAAAAAAAATTAATTAGGTTTTTCATGGACTACCCAAAACCTAATCATAGTAATGGGAAACTGTGTCTGATGTGCCAAATGACCACTTAAAACAAACTCTGGGAATGTAGCCATTGAGCTGAGCACTGCCTGTATGCCTCCCTGGAAGCAGGGCACAGTCCAGACGGCTTTCTCTAATTCCATGCTCCTGTTATTCTCACAATAATAACAAGTAACAGATATAAAATTACATGCAAGTGATACAAATGTAAGACATGACATAAATCACTACTGTGACTCATAGACCTCAAGAGGTAAGGAATAATGAGACACATAATTCGTCAACAATTGTGATTTCCGAGGGCATTAAAAACCAGATTCCGAAACTAATTTAAGGATAAAATGCTAATGGAGTGTATACATAAATGTGTAATTTAAAATTTCAGATCCAGGGTAAATTTTTATTGGCACATATAAGTTATGAATAAAGTAGGTATTTAATTTGATATGCTAACTTATTAAAATATTTATTGACTATCTAGTTTGAGTCAGGAACCTTTCTAATTGTTTAGAATATGAGAGTAAATCAAACAAAAGAAATTCTTACCCTCAGAGAGTGCAGATTCTAGGCGTGAGAGCAGCCAACAAACAAAGTATAATATTTAGTATGCTGATGTAATAAGAGTTATGGTGAAAAATAAATAAAAGAAGGGGATACAGAGTGCCAAGGGTAGAGGAGGAATATTAAACAGTGTGTTCAGAGATTTCACTAAGGTGGCATCTGGGTAAAAATCTGAGAGAGATAAGGCAATGAGGCACAAGGATATCAAGGATCTACGTGTTCTAGGCAGAAGAAACAGCCAGTGCAAAGACCCTGAGTCAGGGGCAAGCCTGGTGTATTGGAAGAACAGCAAGAGACTGGAGTGGCTAGAGCAGAGGCAAGGAAGGAGAGAACATTTAGAGACAAAGTCAGAGAAAAAAGATGACTTCAGCGGTCACATGAAGTAAACTGACTGGTTCTGTAATCAAGCTCTCCAAAAAGCACATCCATTTCTATTTATATGTTTTTTCCTAATAAAACTTAAAGAGTAAATATGAATACTTACTCTGTCATATTTAGCAACTATTTCAGCTCGCTCCTGGGCAAGCTTGAGTGCTACATCCTGGTCTGAATCTGTGGAGAGATCAAATTTAGATGAACTGTTATTTAAAGAATCATAAAGTTATTTAATTATAAAATTGAGCTAAAACATACAAATCAAATAAAAACACATACTGCCAAAAATGACAAATCAGCAAAAATCAAGTAAACTTTAAAAGATAAGTTAAGTATCTATAACTATAACCTTGGAATATCAACATATATATCATTTCAATATTATATATAGTATTCAAAAGAAAGCAACTTTGTTAACATAGCATTAACTTGGGGGATATGATAAATCTTACCACTGAGAAATCAATTTTGGATCTAATTTCAGAGAAAAAAGTATTAAAGGAGAAACTAAAACTAAAAGCTCTAAGTTTTCAATGAAATCCATTTGGGTAGATGATGATAAGAGCACTCAAAAAGGTTTTTAAAAATTAAGGGAATTTGTCCACCAAAAAAGCACATAATAAAAATAATCATTACCTCATTTAGCCTCTCAGGACCCCTTTACCAATTGCCCCAAATACAATAATAATTTCTACTTTTACTCCTTTCAACCCCCACACTCCTTTCTTTCTCTGTTACCACCATGTATCTTTCAAAAACACAAATATGACAACGAAAGTAGAGATCATAACATAAAACAGCATGAATATGATTTACATGCCCCAAGTACCATGAATAAAAATAAAAGACCAATGACAGATTGTATAAATGGCACCTCTGATAAAAAAATAAATAAATAAAAAGACAAGCATTCCACTGAAAGACTGGGTCAAGGTCATGAGCAAGAAATTCACAAGAGTAACAAGAGGAGGGACAACTATGTTTGTATTCTTACTAAGTGCCTGGCACATAGTAAGATACTGCCAGGCAGTAGATATTACTGTGAAGAGCACTTTACAACAACAGTCTAACATAGGTTTTATATTAAGCCTATTACACAGATGAAAAAATAAGGTTTACAGATTTGAACTAACTTGTCTAAGGTCTCAATGCCAGTCAATAGCAAAGCCAGGATTCAAATCTGGACAGCCTTGACTCCATATAACCATTACTTTATAAAAGTAATTACGAAAGACACACACAAAGAAAGGACTTCCACTTAAAGATGGCATATGGAACACACATATCCATTCCTCCTAAAACCACACTAAAATGACAATGAGGTATTCTTTAAAACCCCTCCCTCAAAGGCTCAGCAAATGGTTAATTCCTGAGAGAGAAGGATGGGGTTAAAAAGAGTTGAAGGGATGTGCAGGTGTGTAGCAGAGGTTGGGTGCATGGAAGAAAACCAAATCCAAAGCAGGAAACCAACAGACGATGCCTAAAGCTACAGAAGCAGGAAGTGGCAACAGAGGAGCGTTATCTCGCACTATGGAAGTAAACAGAAAATTCATCAGCCCTAGGGGAGTTGGCAGTGAGGAGGCAGGAATATGGAAGTCAGCTAGTTTTCAAAATAAGTCTTACAGACTGCTGAATCTTTAAACCAAGTATAGCTCTGATAAAAATAAAATCTAAATTTAAAAGCCAAGACGTGGGGAAAAAATCAAAGTCATTAAAAGCTAAAGAAAGATACACAAGTTTCAAAATATCCCTTTCCACCTGTCTCAAACTAACCAAAAAATGCAATGATATTACTCAATGATGACAACAGTGGGCAAATCTGCAGTACCTTACGCTGACTGTAGAATTATAAATGCATAAATCTCTCTGGAAAGCAACTTGATAATATGTATCAAAAAACTTAAAAAGAGGCATATCCTTTACCCACTGCTAGGGTTTTATGTCAATGAGATCATCAAACAAGTGCAAGATTGTTTATAATAGTAAAAATAATGAAATGGGAATCTGTAAATTTTTAGAAGTTTATTTAGTAAAAAATGTTTATGCCATTGTTTTTCTCAGTTGGACTATAAAATGTGTCAATATGCTGTCCTTTGGGGGAAGATGTGAATACATAATAGAATGATTCAATAAAATAAAAAAATACAGTCTAGTTCAGATTTTCAGTGAACTAATGCAATCAGAAGTCTGAGATAATCAGCTCAATTATATACATAATTCATTATCCTATTTTAGATGTATGAACCTTTGTCAATTCCTTTTTCTTTCTTCTGTTGCCCAGCTTTAAAATATTACATTTACATTTTTACAGAAGGTAAGGGAAAGCAAATCAACAGAAGTTAAACAAGGAAACTTGACTACTTATTAAGTTTCATTTCCATTTTCAGAACAGCTAAGCGTGAATTTCTACAGTGATTAGGCCAATTAAATAGATGAGCATTTTCTATGAATGTATTTTATGCCAACCAGTCCTTTATTCCTGCTACTGGTTGTAGGAGTTGCAACTATACTTCTAACTTAACAACTAAAAGTTTAAAAGACTAAAGGCAAAAACTGGAATCTGTATGGAGTTGGAAGAAATGCAAAGTTTCCCAAGAAAACATCATTATGACAAACTGGAAATGCAAAGCTTTACATGAATCATCCCCAGCCTAGAGATTTCCAGAAAGGAAAACCCAACCATGCAACAGAAGTTGTACTGGAACTGGATGAAGCTGTATCCTAATTTTATGGGAGAAAGATGATATACTTTAACATGATTAGAATAGCTGACTCTAAATCAGTGTTCTATTTCTTTAAATTTCTTTAAAAATTCCTTATCTTAGTATTTTTGTATGGGGAGAAAATTTTATAATATTAATGAATGTAGTCTAAAAAGAGAGCAAATTTAAAGTCAAACTAGTTTTACAAAATACAGCCAAAAAGAAGCATACAACCTGCTGCTTTAAAGAGGCTAAATGGAAATACCAATCTTTTTCAACACTGAGTTTAGAGACATTATTTAGTATTTCGCATTGTGAAACAATCATCTTTAGAATAAGAAGTAGTGTCCTTAAACAGAACTTGATATAGTTAAATTGTTTCATACTGTCTGACCTAGAATTGAGAAGTATATTAAGAATTACACTCAACACCAAACCATTATTATATGAAATATCAAAGGGACTTATATAAGAAAAAGATCAAAACTATGAACAATAAAATAGCAACAAACACATACCTATCAACAATTGAATCTAAAAAACAAACAAAGCAAACAAGAAAAACAGAGACAGAATCATGGATATGGAGAGCATTTATATGGCTGCCAGATGGGAGAGGGGTTGGAGGAATGGGTGAAGAGGTGAGGGGATTAAGGAGTGCAAACAGGTAGTCACAGAACGGCCACAGGGATGTAGAGTACAGTGTAGGAAATGGAGTGGCCAAGGAACTCATATGCATGACCCACAGACTTGAACAAAGAGGTGGGGATTGCTTGAGGGAGTGTGGGGTGTCGGGTGGGGAGGGGAAAGGGAGAAAAATTGGTACAACTGTAACAGCATAATCAATAAAACATAATTTTTTAAATAAAAAAAGAATTATGCTCAAGTACTCCATTTGGTTTCATTCTAATTGCTTATTTAGAAATTCCATTGCAAAAACAAAGAGTTTGCCCTAAAACATTGACCACAGGGATATCAGCAGCTGTCTTGTATCTGTGTGCAAGTGTGCATGAAGTTCCAGGCACCTATTAAACAATGACAGCTGTGTTACTTGGTACTTACATTACACGTCATTATCAAATTTAAAATACCTATTACATTATCCAATCCAAATTAAATCAAATTATTTTTACTGACTTTAAGGTTTCAAAGTTTAAGAGGCAAATTTTAAAAAACAGGGATAAGAAGATATTTGGATTAAATAATACTAAATAATATAAGAAAACATCTCTGAGCCCAAATTTATGGAAGAAAATGATACCTATAGCATCTCAAGAAATATTTCACAGGTTTTAAGAAGACCTCTAATTTCACTTAAATACAAGAACTGTTAAAAATCAAGTATCCTCCTGAATTATATGTTTTAAAAGCAGGCATTGTAACTTAGTATTACTCAATTAGCCCCAAATTCTAATGAACAATTCATTCAAAGTTGTTAAGTTTCAAATTCAATTCAATAAAACAAGATTGACAGCAGACCATTTTTTCCTGGTGTACATTTTGAAGAACTTTAAATATACATAGCAACAATTTTAATTTAAAAATTACTTTACCCTTTGTTAGATACCCAGGCTGGCCTTGAGAGTTAACGACAGCTTCAGTCCTCATAGAATAAATTTATCTATTCCAAGATTTCATTATTATTTTCTCAAGCACACCAAGGGTGTTAGGTGGTACCCTCACACATTCTGCAACAAACTGAAACGGAAAAATGGAAGCCAGCTCTACTTTAAACTACTGGTGAAACAAGCACAAGAAAGAAGACTTTGAGATACATTCTAAGGGAGAAAAAAGATCTAGCTGTGGTTACATGGACTATAGATATTCAAACAAAGATGATATTTGTTGAGGGTAAAAACATGTCTTTCAGGCTAGATCCCAAGTATGAACGACACCAGCCTACACCCAGCATTCCAGCGAATAACAAACAAGGACTTCAAGCAAGCAGCTTCAGAATACGCCTTACTCTTGTACTTCAAAATCAGCCACACTCTTATTTATTAATTTTAATAAAGTTTGTCATGGAGTAACGAAGAAAATGTTTTTTTAAAACAATGGTGCTAAGTAGGAATGCTCTCCTCCTCAAATATGTTTTATATCATACCATAATTTTAATGATAATTTTTAATGTGAAAATTGCTCCTGTTTCAGACACTTTAGCATCTACATGCTAAATTTTGGAAGGCTCTGGAAATTCTTAACATGCCACATGTATACAAATGAAACAAATGTTTTATGTAATAATATGTATAACGACTGAAGGATGGCATTGTGAAAATGCCATCCTTTGATATCTGATCACCTTTGACATCTGGTCAGAATCCTCACCTACCACCCTTAATATCTGATCACCCTGGCCTGCCTTTACCAAGAATCCTATTAAGTTGTTTTAGCAAGAAGCCCCCTGCCCTTGATGTCTCCTCTTAGTAATTTTGCACCCACCAAATTCCTCACTCCCACGCTATAAATTCCCAC